TGTAAGTATGAAATAGAGTTTGCTCTACTTTCTTGAAGTGCAGCTGATGTATACTACACTTTTGTCTAGTTATGGGACTTTTGAAACCACAATCTTTATGAGCCAGTGACAGCAGGCAAGTTGGCAGGTGATATATTTGAGAAGAAGAGGCAATGGATAACAACACTTGAAGGATTAAAGTGAGTCAGATGAATGAGCTGGAATTAAACTGCTATTGATTCAGATATGTGCTTATAAGCTCTGATGGCTGCACTGGCCTTCTTACAGGATTATTGTATAGATGGCCCATAAATCCCCGCCAAGGACACTCGAATGATTACTAACTATATCGCCACAAAAGCTCACGGGTTTTGACAGCTTTTGCTGTCGAACCTTCGCCATCAGTTAATGATTGATGTAAGAATGTGTATCCGAGAGAAAGACACGATGTTCTCGAATGTGTCTAATAACTCTAAGGAAACATGGAGCATCAGTGCGGCCATACCTAAGGGGGTTCAGCCGTGTGCGATATGGCTTAAAGACTGCCATAAGGGATGTAGCGTGACATCATGTATGCTCTGAGATACGGATACACGTGTATTATGTGGTCCGAGGATAGAATGAATATACCGACGATCTTGTCGAGAAGTGCTCCTAAACCTATACATTTGGAATACGCCGGTAGGCCCTGTTGCCAGCTGCCCACTTGTGACCCTGGTCTGCAGAAATGCCAGTCGTTATGACAGCAATACCGTTGAAGATACCAAAGGTCCACGAAACGATGTTGAAAATGTATCCAGGACCTGGAAGCGTGGTTAAATTGGTAGCAAACGATTCTTAGGCTGAGCTTACCCAAGCGTGCGACGTCGAACGTTGGGTATTGCGATGTGCTATATAGGTCCGTAATTATTCCAAAAGTAGCAATTTGGAAAGCAGCTGTATCGGTAGAGTTAGAGTTGGATCAAAGCTATCTAAGATACATACATGCCTTGAAGAAGTATTAGCCCCGCGGCTACTCTCCAGATCCTCCTTCTTCGGGAATGCGTGCTGACACCAAATGCTATCGCACAGAGTGATGCCGCAGCACACCACGCTGCAAGCTCCACAAAGTATCGTGCACTTGTCCATGCCGCACAAAACTCGGCATTTTCTTCTTCACAACGATCGGTGACCTTTTTAGGAAAGCTTCTACATTGATAGTCGCTATACTCGAACTTTGAATGGTCATTCCCTGGAATGCGAGTGACTTGACGCTCGCAACGTTGAGAAAGACCGTAAGTGATTGTGAGCTTTGTGTGGAGGACTTCAGGTGTCTGAACAATGAGCCTGTCTATGTTTTAGTAACCAGGAAGCACAAGTAGTGGAGATGAGTAGATTGACCAATCTGTACGATTGATGGAGAAGACATTCTGCCAAACGCCATACATGAAGCTCCTTTTCAGAGCATTTGGAGGAAGAAATAATTGATGGCTCACCAGTAGAAGAGTGATGACCACTACAAAAAACGTCAAAACATAGGATGTCTTGCGCATCGTGGAGGAGCGGGAATTTGTTGAGAAGAAAGCGAGGTTGAAATAGTCATGTTACTTGACAGATGTGACATCACTTCGATCACTTATGAGTGCTCGTGACGTGAAATATAAATAGGACCTAGAACGTGGATAGCAACTGTCCAAATGATAGGAGTATATCACTCCGTCCGAGTCCAGAGATAAGAGACGTTTTCGCCGTTCGTCGGTTGCAGTGTCCTCGTTTTGGACGCCTGTCTCGCCAAGCCATAGCACAGATTTCGCAGAAGCCAGTACCCTTTTGGTAACTCGAAATTAACGTTGCGGTGTTTGAGGTGTGGTACAAAGTTTCCTATTCAAAGTTGTGGCGCACTTTATGACAATTGCCGAGTTACCGGAATTTTTCGGCTGCGCAAGGAGCACGCAAAAATGTCCCTAGGAGGATTCGAACTTCCGGCTTCTCGGAGCGTTTATCCACAACGAGATGATTTAACCACTAATCGACAGGGACCTTGAATCCATTGCTCCAGCATATCATGATAAACCTCCTTCCGTAAAATCTTCGCTTTGACCAACGGATCATTCCAAATACGTCACGGAGGGTGACCGCCATCAACGTCGTGAATGATTATGGAGCACAACGCGTTCAAACGCATCGACCTTGCTTCTCTTATTCAACCCCCTATTTTGCCTAAGATCATATACGAATTTAATTGAACCTCTATCCTTCTCGCCGCCATGGAAAACGGCCAATACAAACCCTATCCCGGGCCCACGCCCAATTATCAAGGTTTCGAGGGCTATGTCCCTGAGCAAGCAGCGCCTCCTCCAGCCTACGACCAGAAACCGCCTGATGAGGGTGACCGGTTCAAGCCAAAACATAGGGTCAATGATCCTCTATTCTTGATCTTTTTCGTGCTACAAGTGGGTGACCCTGTGTACTATCTACAACGGACACGCATTCAGTTCCATCGCAGCTCCTTGGGTACGCAGCACTGTCCGGCATAGTGCTTCACTCTTGGTCGTCAAGCAATGGATTTGGGGGTGGACTAGGAAAGTCAGGTGGTCAGTCTGGTACGGCCGTTACACTCAACCGGCGAGTAAACCTGTTTTTCTCAAATTGCATTTTTTCTCATTTTGCATTCAGGAGTACGGTTTACCTGCTACTCCTGGTTACGGCAGCTGCCCTGCTGCTTTCCACGCTCTACCTCATGCTTACGCGTGCGTTTACGCGGGTTATCATGCACATTACCCTCGTATTGACGATCATGCTAAACATGTACGTGCACCTCACAACTCACGTTTTAAGATCCAGAGCATTAAAGCTTTTTTCAGTGGAATCTGTATTTATTACTGGATCACGAAATATTGGTGTTCGTGTCTTTAACTTTGGATCGTGTTTATCTTTCTGATCCTTTCTTGCCTATAGCCGGCGCGATTATCTTTACGGTGTTCGCTCTCTTCGCGATTCTCTCGTATTTTGGTTTTAGGTCTCGAATCCCGCTGGCATCACTTTTACTACAAGTCGTGATGGATGTGTCAAAGCACCACATAAGCGTCTACCTCGTGGCGTTTGTTGCACTTCTGTTGCAAGCAGCCTTGGCGGTGTAAGTAATAATTACCTCTATCCATATGCTTTTTTGATTCCTTCATCAAGATGGTACGTGTTCACATCGATTGCCACGTAAGCCCCTTCTTTTCATCATATGATACAAGATGATGAAGATAAACGCGAGACAGGTACAACAAATACACGCCAGGCAATCCGAGTGAGTAGTTCCTACATGTTTCCAATCTATCACGACAATATCATTATAGATTGCGCAACCACGAGTTGTTCATCTGGCAAAGTCGCTGGACTAATCTTCTACGAGACCTTTTCTTTTCTTTGGACCTCTCAAGTTGTAAAAAACGTCGCTATTGCCACCCTCGCAGGCGGGCCCTATGGGGCATGGTATTACTTCGGACCCCGCGGTATGGGAGAGATGGTTTGCAATTCTCTCAACATGGCAACGTAACCAATGTTAATGTTCTTGCCTACAGCCTAAACATCCCACTACTTCTGCTTTCGGAAGGGCATCTACGTTGTCGTTGGGATCGATTGCCTTTGGATCGTTAATTGTTACACTCTTAGAACTTGTTAAAATTCTTCTCAATGTGGTACGAAGTAACGCCAATGCTGATGGTCATCGTAAGTGTGCTTCTCAATCCATTGTTGTCCTCATATTCACGTGGTTTCTTCTAAGCTGTCGAGGCCTGTTTAGCATGCTGTGCAGCATGCTTCATTGGTTGCATTGAGACCTTGGTGGAGTGGTTTAATAGGTAGAGTCCTTGTCCAACAATGTGCAGAAAGCTGATATTCAATTAATCAGATATGCATACATAGAGATTGGTGTGTCTCTTTCCTTCTGCTTGGCGAGTGTCTAAATCCCTATAGCGCTCTATGGAAAGCCATATATTACTGCAGCAAAGGATACTTGGAGGCTCTTTAAGGATCGAGGTGAGCTTGTCATTGATCGCAATGTCTCTCTATACAACAGCTGATCGGCTGTCCACAGGCATCGACGCCCTCGTCAACGACTCCCTTGTTGGAATGAGTATGCCTTTTTTCATTCGAAGTCCTCTTGAAACTCATCTTGTACTCCCAGCATTGACGTGGGGAGCATATATTGTCGGTATAACGTGCTCGCTCTTCGCCTACCTCTATCTGCGTTGTGAGTATCTCGTCACAGTAATACTAGGGTCCCTGATTGAAGTTTTTACAGTCACCGCCCCTTCCTATAACGCGGATGGAAGTTACACTGCGCCAGTTCTGCTCTTTGCATTCTTAATTGGTCTAATGTGCTGTACGTGAAACGTGTTATCGGAATGCTTTTTTTTACTAAACAACTCGTCTATCCCAGCTTTGACCCTGTCTTCAGCCATCGAAGCTGGTGTATCGACAATGTGAGTGACAATTAACCAATAAAATACACCTCTGATGACACTACATAATAAGATTTGTTGGTCTCGGAGAAGATCCACAGGTACTGGCCATTCGAGCGCCAGAGCTTTTCGGCGTGAGTTTGATACAAATTTATATTTGAAAAACTCCTTATATTGAAATGTCCTTCTACCAGCTCATTGCGGAGAGGTATCCTCGTGTCACAAGGGGCGTTCCCCACATTTGAAGAGCTGCTTGTTGCATCGAGTTCCAAGTTGAAGATGATTTCCCACGTACTTCAGACTACGAGAATACATTAGCCGATATTTTTATAACCAAGTATAATCTATCTATCTAAACTACTTGTGTCAGAAACTTGATTCTCACGAGATCAATGATAGGATTGAGTCGCGCCGCGCTAATCACGTAGGCCTGCGGCATGAAGAACGGAACAGTCTCTCAGGGACTCCGTTTAACATAAGTACGACAAATCTATCGAGATGTAACTAACACGTGGAGGGACTTTTCTTTATGCCTCCCTTGAAGATAGAATGCACACTCTTGTACGTGCCGGGATGGAGTCTTAACAAGTCCTTGTCGATTAGTGGTTAAATCATCTCGTTGTGGTTTAGCTCCGAGAAGCCGGAAGTTCGAATCCTCCCTGGGACACTATTTTGGTTTGAGAATCGTTTTTGAAGTCAATCTTCAAATGCCTGTGGCGCTTCGAGACTTCAACTTCAATCCCAAGTTTACTTCTAACGATGCTGGCTGAAGAAGAGTAAAATGGGTCACAGATCTTTGGGTCTTCGATACAAGAATTAATTATCTCAGCCTTGGTCAGACATCTCGCTGATATCAAGGTACAGGAAAGCACACATTTATCTTCATAACCGTGGATATAGAGTACACAGTATGAGAGTAAGTATTACACCGCATTGACATGCTTATTAATTACATCGAATGATGTGGAAGAGGGGAAAGCTGAGAGAATACAGAGAAGAACTGATTAATGAGGGTGCAAACAGAAGAACAAAAGCATCGCGTCACGTCCCGTATGCCCAATCGCGCTCTTGTCGCTAGCTATACGGTCTGTGGAGTGACATGCTTGAATCGGACAACGAGGACTGTGACATTGTCTGATGTATGATGCGCCAGTGCGTATTTAAGGAGTTTCGCACTCGCCGCCTGAGGATCAGGCATTTCGCGTACGAGGTCGATGGCACTTTGATCGTTGGTGACATCCCATAGCTGGTGACAGCGCATCAGTAATGAAGACGATTCGAAGGACCGATACACTTACACCATCGCAAGCCAAAACTAGGAACTCGTCCTCATCACAAAGCTCGGTCTCAGTTGTATACGGCGAGCCAACTACAAATTCCTTCATGGAGGAATCACCTAAACTTCGCGTCACAGCGAGGACACCGTTTACCCGTCCACTCATGACGAATCCGCCAGCATCCGTTATCCGTTTTGCTTCTTGTTTATCCGAGCCTTTGTGATCATAAGATAGACGCACGGCTCTTCCGGCACGACACAAAACTGCACGGGCGTCACCTGCATTGGCAGTGTACAGTACGCGTCTCAAATTAGAGGGTGGCACGGTGACAGTCGTACCAACCGTTAGGTCTTTCGGTGAAGACGCGGGCGATACGGATCGTGTCGAATGAGTAGAGATGGAATTTGATTTGCTGCCAGTGAGGTTCTTGAATGCCTTCTTGATACGGCTGCTGCCTGAGGATTTCTTCTTCTTTTCTTTGCGGATCTCGCTGATACTGTTGATGCTCTCTGTGCCACTGCTGTGGGCGCTATCGATATCATTGTTATGACTGAATATAGGTGAGCCAGACTCGGGCGTGGACGGAGATGCATTGATGAAGGTTTGGTGCCCCTCGGCGTCTTCTATGCGAAGAAAGGCGGTTACTGCTGTGCAGCCGGAATGAATTTTGCCTTCCGACTCTTCGCACATACGCGAAAGGAATCCGTCGACCTTGTGGAATGTCTCGTTGAAGACATCGGGCACGGGCGAATTCGGTGAAGCACGGAGGGAGGTTAGGAGGTACTGTTGCACATGTTATATCATCTAGGAGTAATTGGAGTGTAAAGTATATGGACACACCTCATGAAAGTGGTTGCCGCACCATTCTGCGGCATGCTTGCCGGCATGTCCATCGAACACAGCAAAGAAACCTTGGCCTCGTACAGCATCGAAATCAACCACGAACGAGTGAGAGTCTTCCATCGTTCTCCGCGTTCCTTTATCCTCTGTCACGCCAACCTGATACGCTGTATTCTTCGTCGCATGTCGGTTAAGGACCTAAAATGCCTCCAATTGATTTATTTTCGTAACTTATGAATGTGAAACATACTCCACATGTATCCAGTTCTACGCTGGTGATGGATTTTGAACGTGCATTTGGAGAATCGCTGAATCGGGGTTGCATAATATAGGGTAGAGGGGGACCGAATGCGATGTTTCGATCCTGGTTGTACATTGGCATTTAGCCGTAAATCCATGGTTTCGGGCTACATAGAACTTACAAATCCAGTGGGATGAGGAAAGGCTGTATGTAGTTTGATATGTGGGTAAATGTGTGCTGCAATTCAAGTTCTGTAGTAAGATTTCATTAGCAACTTGCGCATCGTAGATAGCACAGAGACGATATTGACCTTGTGAAGCGACAGAAGGGGAGACGGATGAGACGAGAAGGACAAGTGGCGTGCGTTGGTTGTTAAATGGAATGAAGGAGCTTTGGCCCACAAAATCCTATCCCAATGAGGAAACACCGCAATTGTTGGCGTCGTCAGCACTCTGCCACGTGCTTCGATTCTCTCCGTGCCTTTGTACAACACTCGATCTTGCTGTTTATGTTGTTATTGTTACTATAACTACATATGCTGATCAATGGCTGAAATCGATCGCCCCACGCTTTCAGATTGTAGCGGTTCAGTTCCTGTTATGGAAGTGACTGGCAGTTATCAGAGCCTTGTCCACTCAGTATATGTAGTAACAATTTTGTTTCTAATGGGTACAGTAGTCTGCGGCAAACTGGTTCGTTGCGTGCGACGCGAGGGTCACCATGGTTTCACCTTGTTCAATTAATAAGTATTAAAGTCAACCAATTTCCTACCATAAGCTTTAAGCTTTAAGCTTGAGCTTGAAGTTTGACAGGCACAATGCTGGACATCCAAAAAGACGCGTTTCTGTAAAAAGGAATCATGACAATGGACACACTGATGCATAACATGATTTAGCTGGCCACTTTCTTCAACAGGCTGAATTTTCGCGGAATATACATTGCTCTACACAGAAACCCCTGAAGAGCTTCTCGAATGAATTAAGCACTTTAACCGTCATTTTCGACGTCACAACTGCCGAGTTAGGAGAGTGCTCATGCAAATAACTTCTTGACCAAATTGTACACCTTGCAGCCTCAGGCCTCAAGCTTTCAAGCACTGCCTTGTGACTTCTTTGCAGCCCACGAAGGGCAGCCTTCACCACTGTCAGCCTTGACCCCGCGAATTGAGATTTAAGCTGGCTTCTGAACGATCTGAACACTTTTTTCAAATAATTTCATGTTCAAAGGCGGCCCCACCAATGATCTCAAATCATATTCATGATACATACTTATGTATTTAGATAGCATCGTCAAGGGGTAAATGATAATTTTCATGTTCATGTTCAAAGGCGGTCCCACCAATGATCATGTACGTATTCATGATACATAAGTACTTATGTATTTAGATATCATCGTCAAGGAGTAAATCAGCTGTTACATGTCCGACCGGGGTTAGAAAGGGTTAGAATGATCACTCCTTTGGGTCCACTGATTGATGGTTATCAGAACTGAATTCGATTGGAATTCGAGATATCCATGGTCTGCATATGTATAACGGGAATCACTTTTCCTGTACTTGCCAGTGAGAACAAATTTTATCAGTGTACGTGCGTCACAGTTGATTATTGTCATACTTACACAAGCGCCTAACCAATTCTTTGATTTCTTGATAGCTGGCTCAAAGTTGCAAGCGTCAAAAACTCCATGACCGATATGTATCAAGCAAGTCACATGACAAGGCGCCACATTTAGCACAAGCGAGGCAAATTGCAATTGTAGATGTTACAGACATACTTTGATAGTGGTTATAAACATCGAACTAACCACCCAAAACCTATCTATCATAGATCAAAAATTGGATGGCTAGAGATTCACGAAATGAGTTTCTTTTCTCTGAATAATTACTATACAAACGAAAGGAAGAGGCGTTGATGACATGAAAACGGAATCAAGGGATCACATCCCCTTCGCATAATTTAAGCGCACTACAAGTACAGTTACATTATCACGGGTCTCATTCTCCTGAGCAAGATCGACAAGCCTTTGGCTTGCAACTTGGGGATCTCGAATGTTTCGAATGTGGTCAATTGCTTTTTGATCTGTTACTACATCCCAGAGCTGATAGGAAGAATGTTAGTGGTCTGGACATTGGATCCTCATACGAATGTAGTAGCACTGACCCCATCACAAGCTATAATGAAGAATTCATCGGTGTCATCGAGCTCCACTCTTTTCATATACGGCGTTCCAGTGACGAACTTCTTAATGGAGTATCCTTGTTGAGACTCATGGTCTCCAAGACTTCGCGTGACATTTAATTGGCCAAGTATACGTCCTCGCCAGAAAACACCTTTGAGTGCTCTTACTCGCTCGCGTTCCAACTCATCAGATACCTTATGATCATAAGTCAACCGCTGGGCTTTTCCATCTCTAGATAACACGATTCGAGTGTCCCCGGCATTCGCACAATATAATACACGCCGAGCCGAGGCGGGTGGCACAACAGCAGTGATCTTTGGTGGAGTAGATGTTGGTTTAGAAGCATTTGGTTTATAATATTCAAGAAAAGCTTCAGATGGAACCGGTGAAAAGGATTGAAACCCATCGTGGTCCTCAAGTCTCAGGAAGGCAATGGCAGCTGTACATCCTGATGCTGCCCAATTTGCGGATGTTATAGATCGTGCGGAGAGCTCGTCGTCCATCGATTTGAACATAGCTTCCATGATATCTGGTTCAATGGGTGCATTTGGCTTTTCGTGTATCGCCTGGAGAAGGTGCTATGGAGGACACATACGATGTTAGGGAAGAGCTGGACATTCGCGGGCGTGACCTCTATCAAAGGCAGAGGACTTTACCTTGTGGAATTCGCCACCAGCCCACTCAGCAGCGAGTTTATTTCCATGTCCATCGAATATCGCAAAGATTCCCTGGCCACGAATAGAATCGAAATCATGTACAAAGCCATAACTGTCCTCCATGGTAATTCTATGGCCAATGTCGTGAGAGATGCCGAGGTGATATGAGGTTGGTACCGATGGGAGTTGGTTTAGGATCTGAGAGAAACATTGTCAACTGTTATCGGGCCCTGCTCAGAGGCTTGGGATATTACAAACTCCATAAGTATTGAGATCGCTAGCTTTTGTGATACGCTCAACTTCAGCATTCGGATCTGGTCTGAATTAAGTACGGTCAGGGCCAAGCGTTCAAACCGTGACAGCAGCATACAAAGGGGTAACCTTTTCATTGGGCGTTGAGGGGACTATTAGATTTAAACGTCTGTATGGAAGTTTTTTGTGAGGAGCCTTACATTTGACATCGTCTCCAGGGTCC